AGCTCAAGTGATTTAACACAGTCTTCTTGTGGGCTCGGCAGAATAGCTTTGGTTTGTGCTCCTGTATGCATCAGCTGCCAGCTGTATTTCTTTGATGTGCTGCCAGCTGGCTTCTCTCCAGCTATTGTTAAATCTTCTGAGGAGCCCTTTGGGTACGGAAGGGTAAGTGTTTTTTAAAAGGATACTAATTACTTTCAATTTCCTAAAGCATTTTTGCTTAGTGAACCAAAATAAGACAACAATGATGCACAGCAGCTAGCAGGTGGGTGCAGAAGATTACTTGTGGGTGCAGGATTACTTGGCTTTTGTATTTGCCAGGTGGACTTGCTTTTAGTTTTGTCCAAATTTGTCTTCAGGTTCCACACAGCCCCACAAGGCCCTGGTGTACCCTTACAGCTTTCAATCCATTGCTGAAGGGAACAACACCTGTGTAGTACCTCGGCCTGTTGTGGTGTGTGATCTCTCCCACTTCAGGACAGTTGTTGTTAGCAGTCTGGAATGTACAAATTTCTCTCCTTTGTCATGCGTTGCCATAGTGGGAGCTCAGCATCACGTAATCTTAGATTCCATTCTTGATAATCACTGCATCAGAGCACTCACTACAACTGGGAGATAGTTTGGAATATGGTTATCTTTTCCCAGTGACTCTAGGATTCGTTTCTGGAAGTCATTCTTCCTCTCCTTAAAGTACATCCTGTAAACTCTTTGTAATTCCTGTCCTGTGGATGAGATCATACAGTATAGAAACAAGTTTGGTCTGCACTGAGATGCAAGAGGTATGGCTGAGGAAGATATATTCAGGTGAAAACAGGTGTCTCACTCCTGCTGTGCTCACCAAGTGTCACTGCAGTGACACTTCTCTGCAACAATGCTTGTTTTGTTCTTACATATTTTCTGCTTATCTGAAAGGTGCTAGGAATATGGTTGTCTTACACACCTGACTGACTGTGTGAGAGCAATGGACATGCTAGGTAGACCAGAGACAGGGCAGGTATTTTGGTGCTATCATCACCCTCCCTCAACCTCTACCTTGTTGCCCCTTAAGACTACTTCACAGTTCTGCTGGGCAGCACAGTTGTCCTTGTGGGCTGGCATGGAAGCTGCCCACACCTGTGAGGAAGGGACAAGATAACACTGCCATTAGGAGACACAGACTTTTGGTGATTATGTAACTCGTACAAGAGACCATTCCTGTGAACCCAGAAGACTGACAGTGGGGCACAAAGGGTGACTGCCTCCTGCTTTCTGGCCATTGGGCGGTTCTGGATTGGGTCTGGACTGACATTCTTCTCTTGTCTTGCAGTGCTACTGACCCTCCTCCCCGGATCCGCATCATTAACGGATATATCACGGTTGAACCCCAGCCCCGGGGCCACGGACGGTCAAGCCGCACTCGTGCAGACAGCGGCAGTGCTCACCAGCTTTCCCGTTCTCTCTTCCTTCTGCTACTGGCTTTGACTTTGCATGTGATAATGCTGCATTGAAGCACAGAGGGACCCTAGCTGCAGGGCTCTTGCCTTAAAAATCAAGAAAAGAAACTTATGTGAAGAAAAGAAGTAGAAGACTCTGAGTGGGGCACCTGTTCTTTGGGGTGTTCTTAAATTGCCTGCTTTTCCTGAGTCTGGATCATTAACACAGTTAACTGGTTTGACCTGCCCAATACAGGAGAAGATATTTTAATGAAAGTGTTATTTATCCTTCTCTTGCAGAAGAATGATTTCATATTATCCCATAATGCTTTGGGGAGATTATAATGTTGCTATAACATAGCTGTTGTTTAGCTGTATGAGCCCAACTAAATTACTATTTTTTTCACCTTCAGTGCCTTGTAAGAAGATTTACACACCACTACCTTGTTTATTAGAACAGAATATTTTGGTCATATGAGCAAAGCTGGGAAAGAGAAGTTGGTATTTTATGTCTCTACCGGTAATGCTTTTAATTCTTGCTCGTTAGGGCTCCAGATGACATATAAAGGTTCATGACAACACTGTCTACAACAGAATAAAACAATGAAGACTTGTGAACAGAATGTTTCTGTTGTCTATTTAGCACTCTTGTAAGATGGGTACACCTGAATGTCCAATGGCCAGCCAAGTCTCAGACATGGGGAGTGAGAGCACCCTCAGTAAATTTGCAGACAGCACTAAGGTGGGTGGAAGTGTTGATCTGCCTGAGGTTAGGAAAGCTCTACAAAGAGACTTGGACTGACTTGATCAGTGGGCCAAGAACAACTGCATGAAGTTCAAAAAGGTGAAGTGTCAAGTCCTGCACTTGAGGCACAGCAACCTCATGCAGCACTACAGGCTCAGGGAGGAGTGTTGTTCATCAGAAAGGGACCTGGGAGTGCTGGTGGCAGCAGCTCAATATGAGCCAACTGTACACAGGTGGCCAAGAAGGCCAATGGCATCTTGGCCTCTATCAAGAATAGTGTGGCCAGCAGGACAAGGGAAGTGACCCTCTCCTCGTACTTGGCATTGATGAGGCCACCCCTTGAGTACTGTGTTCAGTTTTGGGCCTCTCAGTTTAAAAAGGACATCGAGGCACTGGAGCGAGTCCAACAAAGGGCAACAAGGCTCATAAAAGACATAGAAAACGTATCCTATGAGGAAGGCCTGAGGGAATTGGGTTTGTTTAGTCTTGAGAAGAGGCAGCTCAGGGGTGACCTCATCACTCTCTACAACTTCCTGCAAGGGGATTGTACACAGGTGGGAGATGGTGTCTCCTGCCATGCCTGCAGTGAGAAGACTAGAGGGGACATTCCTAAGCTGAGAGGGGAGATTCAGATGGGATGTTAGGAGAATTCTTTTCACTGTTTGGGTGGTCAGGCATTGGAATAGATTTCCCAGGGAGGTGATGGAGTCACTATCCCTGGAATTGTTTAAGAGGTGTCTGGATCTGATCCTGGAAGATAAAGTTAGGGCTTACGGGTTACAGCAAGCAGAGTGGCAGGTTAATGGTTGGACTTGATGGTCTTAGAGAGCCCCTCCAATCATGATGATTCTATGATTCTAATGTATATTTAAGAAAAAAAATTCCTGGGGAACTTCACAAATCACACTGCTGGACATTTCCAAAATAAGTTCTCATAAGATGATTTGAGAAGCCCAGATATAGGATTTCTCTCTTTCTAAATCACAAAATTATTGTTATTTTATAGCTGGATTCACTTGGAGTGGAAGGATTTTATTTTCCTTTTCTGCACAATTCAACTTCATTCTGGGAAATCCTTGCAAGTTTTCTACTGAGTTCATTGCTCAGACTATCCGGATTGTTTTAAGTCCTTCTCTGTCTGCTTAAAATGGACACATTTTTGACTGTTGAATGTAAGAAGCTTGGAAGTGATGATGAATTGTTTTCTGTGTTGTACAGGACATCCTCTTGTGATCACACTTACTCATTTTGTGAGTAAGAAAGATATCACTCCCCTCTGTTAGGGGTGTTTTATTGCCTGGGAAAGGCCTCATAAGATTCATCCATGGGAGGGCTTGGAGCCAATGTGTTGAACTTGGTAAATTGGAAACATAGCAGTCACCAGCCCCAGTGAGACAATAAACCCTCAGGTTTCCCGTCCTATGCATTCACACGTGCTTTGCTACATTTTTCATTGCCTATAACAGGTACTTTTTTGTGCTTATCCTTCTATGGTATATTGCACGAGAAGAACCAAAGGTTTCAGCTTTCTTAAGAGGTTTTTCATCTCTTGATCTCAACTTTCAGTCCCCTTTCAGAAGGAAGCAACCCGAACAAAGCCTCAGTTTGCTGAGGAAAGCAGAGAAAGAAAAGACTAAATACTGCAGTCAGCAGCAGCACTGTGGGGAATAAAATACATCTCGACTGGAGTGGAAGACAGCACCATTTCATTGCGTATTCCTTCTTACAGGGAATACTACAAGACCTCAAGGTCCTGAATGCATTCTAGCTTCCTTGGCTTTATGCAGCAGCCAGGCTGCTCTCCCCCATCTCTCTCTGGTTGGTCTTTCCCTGGTCATAGACCTGGTGGGTCTGGAGCTTGGTTTTCTTGACCTGAATACATTAGTTACAAAATGCACAGTAGGCCCAACAAACTGGGCGCATAGAATCATAGAGTGGTCTGGATTGGAAAGGACCTTAAATATCATCTCGTTCCAACCCCCTTGCCATGGGCAGGGGCACCTTCCACTAGACCAGTTTGCTCAGAGCCCCATCCCACCTGGCCTTGAACACTTCCAGGGATGGGGCATCCACAACTTGTCTGGGCAGCCTGTTACGGTGTGTCACCACCTTCATGTACATACTTGTGTATTTACCAGTGCATCTGAGGGGGACCACCAAAAACCTTATATCAGAGTGTGTTCTGCACTTGCTAACCTATGTTTTGGTGTTGCTTCTCCTCTCCCTGTCCTGTGTCCTTTAAACTGCATGATGAAGTGTGGCACAGATCCAAAGGGTACTAGAAGCACTGGGAGAAAGCAGCTGAGGCAGACCTTCCATTTCTTTTCTCCATTACAAGCCAAAGGCTGCTGTGCAAAATAGTTTGAGGCTGACTTTTCCCTTTGTTCCCTTCTCCATCATTGCTCCTGAGTGTCATCTCTGTGAGGATAACCAAGGTAGGTTTGATGAATAGTCATGATTTTGGTTTTCTTAGATTGGTATGAGGAAAGAGTAGTTATAAAACACTCAGGAGTAACAAAGACCTGAAATAACACTATGGATAATTCAGTTCTGGTGATGTAAGCCATTTTGTAGCCTGTTTCCAAGTACCTGACTGTGTCGGGGAAATAGAACCGTACTTAAACTGTGATTGATTGTGGTCCTACATAGGCTGCATCCTGGGAGTCTTTTTGCAAAGTAATCAATTTTTTCAAGGTATTTTTGAGAGTCTCATGGTCTTGGATTGATACCTGTGAACTGAACTAGTGGTTCCAACCCCATACTTTTTCTTCCAGACTAGTCATTGCTGATTGTCCTCTGTGCATCCCCTACTCTGCTTCCAAATTAGTTTGTGCAGTTTTAGGCAGTACCAGCAGAAGGTCAGGAGATCAGCTTTCTACATATCCAGTGTGGGAACTATTTCCAAGGTCCCAGTAAAAAATGGAGCTGAGCAAATGAGTTTTTGCTGAAAAGCAACTCTGAGGTTAAAACATTGGATAAGACCCGTTTTCAAATCTCCCTGCTGGAAAGGATTTGGAGCCACATCTCCTCCAGCTGCCTTCTAAAATCCATTGAGAAGTTGACTAGGTGGAGATCCTCTCTGTGGCAGTGGCCCTTTCTAATGAAATGGTAGAAATCAGATATTTTGATTATGCTCAAATTAGCAATAGAATAAAATAAGGCCCTGTCTTTTCAAGTTGCAATGCAGCTGCATGCAATCACACCTTATATTATTGCGATTGTTCACCTGTTTTTTTAAATCATCCCAGGAAACGCATTTCTTATGTCTGATTTGAACATAGCAGAATGTTGTAAATATAAACCTACTTGCCCCATCTCAAAGTTTGGTTGCAGGCACAGCAATTTTTGGAGACCTTCCAATGGTGGGTGCAGAGCTCAGTTCCATATGAGAGGCACATGAAGTTTTGTGCTGAACTGTTGTAGCATACTGGGTGATTATATGCCAATACAGCTTCAAGGATATAAACTCACACCTAAGTGGATAAAAGGGAAAAAGGCCATTAAAAGTACTGGAGCAGAAATGCTACAAGCAGCAAGAATTTTGAATGTCAGGCTCCTAATGAATTACCTAATGAATTACCTAATGAAAGGTAAAAAGATGTGTAACATAAGTGCAGCAGATACACTTAGCAGGCCACATAGAACAGCCATCTGTCTTTGGGATTTAATGTTTCCAAGTACTTTGCCACTGTGCAAACACCACACCCATTCAGAAGAGCTTCATCACGAAGTAGACAACCTGAAGGGGGGCTCCTGTGAGACATGTATATGTACATAGGCTGCATCCTCCACATCAGACTTAAACTGAAGTGTTAGCTTAAATGCTGCACAGCACTACCTGGGTTTTTTTGCAGTGTGGTGTACTTCTTCTTGCAGTTTACATTGCTCACCAGATTACATTGCTGCCCATGCACCTAGAATATAATAATGAAAACAGTGCTTTGCAAAGGAACTTGCTCTCTAGAAGGTGACTTAGGTACAGTGTCACCCTGGTAAGGTTTGTTTATATAAACAGCGATACAAGAAAACATGAAGTCTTTGTCAACAGAAATGTACAAATCTTGCCTAGGATCCATTCATAAATTTCTGAAGGGCCATGATCTAGCAGGAGGGCCTCTTCAAGTTTGCTCAAACTTTTTCAAGCTTCATGCTGGAATTGCCTGGATGTGTGGGAATTTTAATGCAATAAAAGTACTCCACTCAACTGAATTCACTGCATTTCTTATTGTGGGTGCAGTTGTCTACTATCTGCTGTGGAGATAAAGCAATAATGTTGAAGCTGTTTTACATGATAAGACTCAAATTTGAGGAAAATCTGTTATGTTGAGAA